AAACGGTGATATTTTTTAATAGGTCGCTTAATTACGTCTTTAAGATTACAATGACGCTTTCAGAATCATGTTTGGTTGAAAATTAACGCCTGTACAGAGGCTTAAAGTTCATAACTTTTGGAGCCTCCGTTATAAACAAATAGAATTGTGCGAAAACTATTACACCTACAGCGCCCACTTTTGGCACACTTTTGAAGTATGACAAAACCCTCAACTTGTCATAGATTTTATAAAATCTTATCAATAAATGCGATAGTTATAAACAAATTAAGAAATGATCACTTTTCTTGTTTTTTGCAATAACTTTTTTGTTTATTATCCAATTTTAACAAGTCTCATTTTGTAGATAATTATACTCCCTTTTCGCTAAAATTTATGTTTTTCCCTGCAAAGTGAAAAAACTGTTTTCCTCACTTATTTGTTTAAATAGAAAAGTTAGCTAATAAAAGCTTTTGACTCACGAGATGAGAGATGTCTTGTATTATGTTCCTTTAGACAATTTTACTATAATCTCGCGGATAGGGCTTTTTTCTACTTTCTCTTTTATTTTCGCTAATTTTCCTGGTGTATAACGACGTAGAAATATCAGCAGCTGCGGAATACACGACTGACATAGACCTAACTAATACAAGAATTCTGGTGAATAACAGAGAATAAAAATCCAGACTTTCTTTTGAGAAACAGAGGAATATGTCTCTGGAATGATCAAACCGGTGAAGTGACAACCAGTTCATCCATAAACTTACCTCAGACTTGCAAGAAGATCTGTTACTATTTTACGTGAAAACCTTATTCATACCTAACGTGTATTGGAGATTCTGGTTGTGATGCTTTTCAGTTTATGAACATTGGTGGCGACACAAGAGCCTATTTAGTTAGAATCACTTCTAATGGTGATCGAGAATGTACCCTTTACTCCGTATATTACATTTGGTGAATATATGGACAGTATTTTGACACAAATGGTCAAACTCCAGGATAAACATGTTTGTGCATCTATTTTTATTTCTGATAAAATAAATTAAAAACGAGATTTTGATTTATTTGATTTTTAATATTTTTTTACGACAAACTATGGGAAACAAAATTGAGTTGGATAAAAATTTCGATGATAGCAAAATTGATACATTTTATTAATTGAAATATATAAATGTATTCAATTTCATGAGTGAATGGTTATTTGAGAATCGAAACTATACGCCATGTGTACGTAGGTGAAAAATTAATCATGTTTTACGTCAGTAACCAAATAACATTATTTCATTTATATATTTATTGTTCAAGATGAAATGCTTTGCGATATGTATTTTATCATTACTTATTTTTGCGGCATTTGGTAAGATACATTACTCAGCTTATAAAAATTCGTTCAAATCCAAAATAGTCGGTCGATGGCCGCACGGTTTAAGGCGTCAGTACTTAAATCGATGTGTGCTATTTGCCCGGGTTTCGATTCCCGCGGCCGGGTCTGTAGACCGTAGATTAGCTATACTTGTACAGAGGATTGGCGCCCTCTGTGCAGGTATGGTAGGGTGGAAGAATGTTGGCTTGGGTCAATGTGAGAGATTGACACCGGTTGGCATTTGACCCCCCCCCTAATTAATGAGGTTTTCCAGGTTTCCCTCATTCCTGCACTGAATGGTGGTTAGGGCCTACCAACATAAGTCGTTCCTGGGCGCAAATGCGGCCTGCTTAATAATAATATGCCGCCTCCTCTCCCGCACAAGTCTCCGACTTCTGGGCTAATTCTCGTAATTAGAATGAGGAGTAGAGATATTATTATTATTATATTATTATTCCTTCTTTGCACACTTCGCCATTCTACTGTTTCCCTAAAGATAGCAAAGTCTTTACAAACCACACACGCTGGAACATATTGGAACCGGACACTTGTTCTACTCCTTATCGACAACTACAAACCTAATTTTCTCGCGTTTTAAGGCAAAACGGACACCAATAGCACTCTCTGGAAAAGCCTACAAAAAAACTGCGGCAAAACGAGATTTGACCCCAGAAACCAAGAGGAGGACGAAGATCGAATTATCAACGGTACCGCAGCTATGCTTGGACAATTCCCCTGGAGTGTTAGATTGGGGACAATTTATAAAACAAGATATAGGTTTCATTGTGGGGGCAGCCTTATAACCACTACTTTCGTTATTTCGGCGGCGCATTGCAATGAATATGGTAACATGTAGGTATGTCCAAGATATATGACAACACTCCTTTAAACTGCTTCATTTTAGAGCGAGAGTTGGTCAAACCTACGAAACAATGGGTCCCCAATACGAACCATTTGGAGGCTGTGCCCCGCCCTATCAAGACATCAAAATAAAGAAGTACATATTCGAGGACTACTGTCGAGTATCACATGTTGATGATCTTATGTTGCTGGAACTAGTGAGACCTGCTAAACTCAATAGTAATACACAGTAATATCACATCTTACATAAATTAAAAACAGATATTTGGTAACGCTTAAAGACCCTTTTGCCTCCGTTACGCTTCATAAGCATTCGGAACAGGATTAGATTCTTCTTAAATTTACTGGTCACAGTTTAATTTGGTCATGAGTCATAAAATTTTCCATTCGCTCTCTAATAGTTGATTTAAAAATGTAACAACTGGCAACGCTGATAGTGCACTAATACAAATTACGAGGCTAATTCCTGATAGAGTGGTTTACGCCACCCAAGTTACACGCAAATCTTCTTGTGCATAATAACTTTTTCCAGACTTCGTGCAAACAATTTGTCTTCCGCCTTCCTCCCTTCCAATTACTAGCCTCATAGGAAAATACGTGGTTGTATCAGGCTGGGGTCTACGGAATGGAACCGACCTCAACAGTACACCTAAAAATTTATTTTACATGGTTACTCCAGTACTCGATCCTGACGAATGTTCGTTAAATTTTACTAATTTCGACAGAAAGAGGCAGTTCTGTCTAAATAAACTTAATAGTAAGTACCAAATATAGCAACTTTGAGTTCCACAGGGCCTCAGGGTCCATTATTATTTAAGATTTACTTAATAATATATCTTGTTGTAATCTTAGCATCCACTTCGGTTAATTTTTTCACTATTTTAGATAAGATCATATGCAATGGGGATTCTGGTTCGGGTGTCTTTTCGTTAGTAAAAAATGGGAACGATATGCGAGCTTATTTAATTGGAATTGCTTCTTATGGGAAAGTAGGATGTAGGTCCCACTCTGTAAATACACTGGTTGAATACTACCTCGACAATATTTTAACACATATTGAGAAAAGCATGGGCTAGGATTTATAAATGAGCTATGATGAGTTGTAACTTTAGATAAATATTATATGCTTTATTCCTCTTTCTTTAACCCTTCCTACATTATTACTATAAGTTATTGCTTCCAAAGCCATACAATGCCGATGGTTTCAGTAAGGCTACACAGTATAGAAATCCAGAAAAGTCGATTTAATTTTAGTATAGGCGAGAACTACATGGAATTTGGAAAAGACTGATCCGCAAAAAATATTAAGGACCAAAATAAGGCACATAGCTAATATAAATACCAGCCAGAGGGCTTAATCTCCAATGTTTCTTCTGAGGAGGTGAGGGATATTTCTGAACCGATGGAGTGGCAACCAGTGAAAAAATTGTTCACCCATACATCTCAGATTTAGTTTATGAACATTGATGACAAAACAAGAGCGCCATTAATTGGAATAACTTCTACTGGTGATTTACACATTACATATGTTAAATACAATATGGACACTATTTTGACAAACGCCAGAACAAACATTTTTAAACATCTGGTTTATTTATATTAAAATTAAAAACGAGATTTTGATGTATTTAATTTTTAACACTTTTATCAAAAGGGGGATCACTGTCGACTGACACGCTATAATGATCTTATGTTGCTGGAACTAGTGAGACCTGCTAAGCTCAATAGTAATACGTTATCACATTTTATCTAAATTAAAAACAGGTATATTAGGTAACGCTGAAAGGCCCTTTTGCCTCCGTTGTTCTTCGTAAGCATTCGGAACAGGATCAGATTCTGCTTAAATTTACTACTAATCACGGTTTAATTTGGTTGCTGAATTTTGTTTAGAATTTTATAACTTTTTAGTATTACCTGTTTTCCTAAACTTCAGCTAAAAACTAGGACACTGAAATTGTCAAATTAAAAACATACACTGCTTAAAAGACAGTAACACATAATTGTTTGTAAAAACTTGAATAGGTATTAAAGAAGTACTTCATATCAATCAGATCACTATTTGTTTCATTTTTATTATTTTTTATGTTCGTGTTTTTAAACATTAAAAATAATTATTTTAAAACACATTATTTTTATTTACAATTAGTAACGTATCTATTTACATGTGAATTGATCATTTTTTTTTAAACAATAGAATGTTCGACGCTTCATCCACATTGACATAAAAAAATATGGCAACTTTAAAATAACACGTGGCTAAGTCACACAAAAGCAATATTATGTTTTACTAAATAATTTTCGATTCTCGCTCTTTAACAGAGTTGGTTTAAGAATGTGTTATCTGGTAACGCTAATAGTGCAGTAATACCAGGCTAATTCCTGGTAGACCGGTTACCCCTAAAAAACTGTCGATGCACATCTATACATATAACCTTCACGCAAATCTTCGTTGTGCATAATAATTAACAATAACTTTTTCCAGACTTTGTGCAAACAATATGTCTTCCACCTTCCTCCCTTCCAATCACTGGCCTCATAGGAAAACACGTGGTTGTACCAGGCTGGGGTCCACGCAACGGAACCGACCCCAGCAGTAAACCTAAAAATTTGTTTTATATGGTACCTCCAGTATTCGATCCTGACGAATGTTCGTTACATATTACTCATTTGGACAGAAAGAGACAGTTCTGATGGTTAAGTAAGATTTACTTAATAATACATATATCTTAGCATCTTCTTCGGTTAATTTTTTCTCTATTTTAGATAAGATCCCATGCTGAGGAGGTTCTGATGAGGGTATATTTTCATTAGAAAAAGTGAAGACGGAATACGAGCTTATTTAATTGGAATTGTTTCTCATGGGAAAGCAGGATGTTGGTTTCATTCTGTACAAACACTCGTTGAATACTACCTAGACAATATTTGTATTGCTAGCGGGAAAACAGGCAATTGAAATCATTTTTTATGGTTACTCTAAGTTGTTGCTTCAATCTAATATATACCAAAAACCATAGTATATCGGTGGTAACATGCCCCATGACCCCCACCTTACCAATACATCAAAATAAAAGACTGCATATTCGAGGATTACTGTCAAGTGTCCCATGTTAATGAGCTTAATAGTAATATGACATCTTACAATTAATTAAATTAAAAATAGGTACATTAGGTTACCTATCCTCTTTCTAAGAAATCAGAGTGAATTTCTAATGATAATAATGTAATTCATATAACAAGAACTATAACAGAACGACCATGTTATGTGTTCAAACAAATCTTTGTTGGGCATAATTAACAATAACTTTTTCCAAACTTTATGCAAACAATTTGTCTTCCTCTTACTTTGCTTTCAGTTAGTAGCCTCGTGGGTAAAACAGTAACTGTATAAAGTTGGGGTCAACGAAATGGGACTGGCCTGAAAAGTTTATCAAAAAATTTGTTATATACGTGTAGATGTTCTAATGCTAGATCCCGAGGAATGTTCGTTAAATTTTCCAAGGAAGAACCAAGGAAGAACTGACTTTTTCTCCTAGACCTCTCCTGAATTCGACACTTCGCTTCGACACGCCCATTTCTTGGGTCCAGAAGTTTCTTATTGGCGGGAACCCTGAATGTCGGGACGCTTTGGCATAACTATACCATGTTAATAATTACCTAATTGACTGGACTTACATTTATGTACATGAATCTGTGACTAGGCTTACAAACAACCCTATACCTTCCTCTTGTGACTCCGCATAACAATACGGGACAGATTAGCAATCTCATTTAATATATTCTTAATAGCTTGGAAAATCCGTCTAAAAACCAGCTGTATTACTTTCTTTTCCTCACAACATTCTAACAACCTATTATTCTTGGAATTCCTACGTTCTTTGGAACGCATTTCGCGCGTTATTACCAATATGGGTTTCTTTGTTCTGACCCAAACTACGCTGGCGCCTCCCGAACGCAACAGATGACTGTCACATAGCCCCGACTCTAAGTGAACTTGTTCGAAAAATATTGCTTAATTTCTCCGACGGACGACACCATACCTATTTGAGAGCCATTAACTTTCCGATAAATTAGTGTTGACTGAAATATTTTACTTTTTGGCCCCTCCGTTCCGAGAACTAACAAATAAAATACCACGCGTCCAGGCTTTTGTTACATTTAACACAAGGAAGTATTTTGCAATGTATCTTTCATCCTTACTTTTTCACCGCATTTTGGTAGAGCAAACTTCATTTGTGAAAGCTATGGTTTTTTCATCGAAATATCTAATATTGTTTCCATGTACTTTTGGCAAATAATAAAAATGACTTATAACAACTATACATATAACCCTTCCAAAAAGAAACATCTATCTACACTTTGAGAAAATAAATGCATAATTTTTAATTTATGTCGTTTTTTTAAGTGGAAAAGTTGTACACGTTTGCAAAATAATGTTATTTATTTCATTGTTTTACGTATTCAATTTTATGTCTTCTTGGTTCATTAAATTTAAAAATTAGTTGGAATATGTTTTTAAAAACTATAAAGTTCTTATTTGTTGTAAGTATTATAGAAAAACATTTTGTACAGCATGAAATATTTTGCGTCTTGTATTTTTTTACTACTCCTTTGCACTGCAAATGGTAAAGTTAAACTTTTTTATCTACTATCTAATTATTTTACTCGCATCTATGTACCTTCTAAGGGCAAACATTCGACGACAGTAGTCTATGGGATAATCTACCCAGAGATTGTGGTGAGACAAGATTTGATGATATCGTTACGGAAACAGTAAAAGACCGGATTATCACTGGCGCCGAGGCTAAACTTGGACAATTTCCTTGGATGGCTCGAATAGGAATCAAACTTGGAGATGGTTCCAAGTTTTTTGGCTGTGGAGGGTCTCTTATTACCAAGATTTTCGTTGTTTCAGCTGCGCATTGTGGAGAACGGGCTAATATGTATGTTTTTAAGATATCTGACAACACTCGTTGAACAGTTTTATTTCAGAGTTAGACTTGGTCAGACGTACGAAACGAACGGCACCGAATGCGACGAGAAATGCAACTGTGCTCCGCCCTACCAGGATATCGAAATAAAGAACTACATATTCGAGGACTTCTGCCGAATGTCGGCACGTAATGATCTAATGTTATATGAACTAACGAAACCAGCTGAGCTTAATGGTAATCGCTAAATTAAACTAATACTTACTTTTTAACGGAGACCGTTAAGATCTTTAGACTTTACAGCGCATTTTAAAGTAATCTCCAGAAAACGGCACCTTAAATCAAGTTTAAAAAGGGGTATTGTCAGTCATCAGTCCAACTAAAGCTATGGTTTGTTAGAGCTGTAGGCGACGCAAAGCAGTCAGTTGTGCGCGTCGGACTTACGTTGGAATCCAGAACACAAGAAGATGCGTACCTGGTTTGTTAGAGTCTGCTTAGGTGGATTCACGGTAGGCAGAAAATTATGTGCGTCGTCGGTTCAGTCGAAATCAAATTGAATTTGATTTCAACGCAGTCGTACAGTTGAGCTCACAGCTTACAGTTCTAAAAAAGCATTTATTTTTAACGAATTTTAAAATGGCAACCAAGTTTTCACCAAAGGAAGACGAGAAATTAATCGATCTCGTACGAGAACAACCCCCATTGTATACCATCCCTTCCAAACGTCTGTTGGAAAACATTCGATCTTCACTTTTATTTTGACGATGACAACTAATTAAATTTAAAAGATCTTTTTCATGTTCTCTTTCAATAAGTATTGTCAGCAAAAAATATTCAGCCATTGTCATGAAAATATTTTTTTTTCCAAAATAATAATAAATATTTTCGTCTGCACTTATCAGCATACAATCACAAGCACTAAATCTAACAAATCACCCTCCTTCAAAACCGATAAAGTTGAACGCTACAGATTCTGCTAACCGCGTATGTCGTCTGCGACGCACAGTTCTAACCACAGACCACCTAGACTGGCCGTATCTAATTCCAATGCACGGGTACCAGTGAATGCAAAATCCGGGGAAGTGGAGTGTGGAAGGTAATTGGATCACGCGCATCTTTAAGCAGATCCGGTTTAAGTAATATTTTTAATAATAATTTAAATATATTTATTATCCTCTAAATAATATTAATTTATTTAATATTTGTCTTTTCGTAGATTTTACCGAATTAAATAATTTGACTTCAAGATTTATTCGTACATCGATATACTTTTCACAGTCAGCCCTTACAAGTTCTATTAAATGATTACAATTGTTAGGCAAATTATCAAATTGATGTTCATGCAAATTTTCAAATATGTTCACATTCAGAAATTTTTTTAATACATGATAAAAAAATTTATTTTTCTGTAGCCTAGGTGTTCTGCTTTCATCATTATTTAAAAATTGTATTAATTTTTCTGTTTCTTAGCATATTACTACGACATCTCGAGATGGATACGTCAAACAACCACGATCTTTAATAAAAATTAATTGACTGTACGAATACTGAATCTGAAATTAGTTTTGTTTGCGATTTTTTTAATTGGAAAAAATATTTAATTAATTTTCAGCTATCTCGAAATGACGAATTGGTAAAATTTCATAAAAATTTAAGACTCGCATAAAGTAAATAATTACTAAAAATATTTTACAGTAATTCATTCATTATTTTATAATAACAATATCACGTTAATCACTACACTATGTGAGCGAACAAAATTATAAAGCTAACCCTGGAAACTTGTGACGTTAACCGAAAAATGGCGTACATATTTACCTTTTATATATTTCTTTTTTTTACTTACCTAAAGAAGGAAACTTTTCACCTCTCTTCGCCAACTCGATCACTTCTATTTATACATTGTTTTACAATACACTTGCTCATGATAAAACGTCTAATTATCGAAATCACAGCGATGCTTACACGTCAAATGGTAGGACACGACTGAGCGCTGGGCTCCAAATCAGGCTCCAAAGTGTTTTCACCAAAGTCGCTCTATAAGCCAGTCTAGGTGGTCTGTGGTTCTAACAAACCAAAGCTTAAGCAGCAGAATAGGCCAGGAAAATAAGCTGGGAAATGGCCATTTCGCGACTTTTTGTTTCGGCAAGCTGAATTTATCACTATAGATGCTAAATATTATGTACAATAACATATTAGTTTCCACAGTCATAAAAATGGGGGGAAGATTGTTTACAGGGTGGTTAATTGTATAATTTTTACGTAAATTCACGATTTTCGCTTATAACTTTTTTGCGTTCATTTCCACGAGAAAACAGTAAAGTACTTTTTTTTTCGTCTTCAAAAGATCTACAACACTAGCCCTTGAGCGTCAAAAGCCAGTGATTAGATCAAAAGTTATAAACAAGAGAAGTTTATTTATGACTTTTGAATTAAACATTTATAAACTGCGTTATTATTACCAAAACATTTTGGCATCGCATCCGCTCATTCCTTATCACTGTCTAATAACGAAATCTGGAATAGGTAAGTTGAATAGTTTACAAGTTATGGCCTTATAAACAAATTAACTAATTATTAGTCTGGACGATCTCCAGGATCTTCCACAATCGCACTGATTTATTTCAAGGTAGATTTCACAGTAATACGTTGAAATCTATCATTTTTTTTAATTTCAAATTTGCAACCTGTTTTTTTTTATTTTTTAGCCTTAGTTGCAAAATGAACGCACGAGCGTGATATAGTTATATGTTATTACATATTCGGAAAGCTTATGAAAAGAGCTTTAAGTTAAAAAAATATCGTCAAGTTTCGTTGAAAAACAACGGAGTTACAGACTGTCAAAGTTGGCGAACGATTCTAAAACAAATTAGATTGGTAGTAAAAAAATTCTGTCATATCCGGCAACCCGAGTACTTTCCCAGGTAAAAATATTTTATTTGTGGAAGTATGTTAAGTGCATAAAAAATATTGTCAAAAGTCAGTGGGTCGCTTGATTTTCGGCGAGCCGTGGCGCGGCGGAAGGGTGGGGGAAGCGAACGACAGCGAGTCCGAAGAAAATGACGATAATATTCATAGTCCTGCCGTTAAAAAAGCAAAATTCGCTTGAAAATAATATATTTGACAGTCTGTAACTCCATTGTTTTTTCAATGAATCTTAATTTTTTTTTAACTTAAAGCTGTTTCCATAAGCTTTCCGAATATCCTACATCCTACCCTACATCCTTTTTAGGTTGCCAATTTGCAACATTTAAAGCGCGGTCTGAGGCGATAAGCTATATAGTCTGTATTCGATGTGTGAAATCAACATTTGTTACAGATTATGTGCAACCAATTTGTCTTCCCCGCATCTCCATTCCATTAAGTAGTCTCGTTGGGGAAAACGTAGTTACAGGGGGATGGGGTATACAAATTGCAACTGACCCAAAGAGTACCCCTCAAAACTTAATGTATATCGTTGTTCCCGTAGAAAATATCAAAAAATGCATACCATTATATGAAGGATTCGACAGACAGACACAGTTTTGCTTAAGTAATCCCAATGGTACGTAAATAATTAGACTAGATTTGTGAGAAAAAGCAATTTATTAATTAACATTAAATAACGTTCGTTGGTTTTGTGTTCTTCTTTTTAGATAAGAACGTGTGCAGTGGAGATTCTGGTTCAGCCGCAGTAAAATTTATAAAAATTAATGGTACGACAAGAGCCCATTTAATTGGAATTACTTCCTATGGGAAAGAGAACTGTAATTTATCCCCTGTGTTTACATTTGTCGAGTACTATCTCGGCAGTATTTTGAGACATGTTAATAATCGCCATAACAAAGATTTATTCTAAATGTATTATGTTCAATTATAACTTGAAATAAAACTAAAGTTTCTCTTTTTTGTTTTACCTCCCCTTAAGGGCCCCATATTCTTTAAATAGTGTTTTCCGCAAAGACAAATAATTTCAAACATTTAATAACTGAATAATCTGAAGCTTATCAGGATAACAGGAATGTTATGTCATGCCACCTGAGTATTTTCAAAGACGCCGCAGTAAAACGAATAAACAGGTGCAAAAAACGTTCAAACCATCAAGGTTTTAGGTATTGAAATCTACGAAAATACTAACTTTTTTATATAACGAGCGTTCAAATAAAAACGTGGTCGAAGTTGGCTCTGACACATTGGACGTAGGGAGTAGCTTATAGCGACCAACTTAACCTCATTTCTCAACGAGCTGTATAGCAGCTGTCAGTTTCAATAACGTTAATGACTATATATTAAAGAATAATCGTGATAACAATAAGAAACAATTAAAGGAGCTGCGGAAAGTGTCCCCTCCTTGTTATAACAATAAATTAAAGCAGCTGCTGAAAGTGTCCCCCTCCTTGTTCCAAGCACTTTTCACACCTGTTCCTCAAAGAATTAAAGACATTTTCTAAGATGCTCGGGGTATTGTTAATTTCACGAATCTTGTCTATAAGTCGAGCCTGCAGATGGTTTAAATCAGGAAGAGGCAGTTCAAAAATAGTGTTTTTAAGGTAAGGCCACAAAAAGAAATCACACGGCGTAATATCACATGACCTCGGTGGAAATTCATGTTCAGCATTGAGACTTATTAGTCGATTGTGGAAAACTTCCCTCAACATATTCATCGTCTCGCCTGCCGTATGTGCCCTTGCGCCATCTTGTTGAAAGTAAAAGTTTGTAATTTCGTTTTCTTCCAGCTGGTTAACAAAAGGAGCTATAATTTATTCTCTATACCTTTGCGCAGTAAGAGTACCATTAAAAAAAATAGGTCCATAAACCCTCCTTCGATTGAGGGCACACCAAACTCCAATTTTTTGAGCGTGTAGAGGGCCCTCGACAAAAAATTTATCTGGTGTTTCAGAAGACCACATTCTCATATTCTGTGAGTTTACGTAACCACTTAAATGAAACCAGGCTTCATCAGAAAAAAAGGTGATATTATGAAGTTCACCGTAGTTGTTTAAAAACCATTCACAAAATACAGCCCGTCGCGGAAAATCAACTTCATGAAGTTCTTGCTGACAAGTTAAACGATAGGAGAACAAACGCAAATCTTTTTTAACACTGTGTGGCAGGTGCCGACTGATACTCCCACCATTTGTGATAAAACACGTACAGAAGTTCTTGGCGCATTTCCCATTATTTGTTGGACATTTTCTTTTAATTCTTCAGTCCGCTTTTTAGGTCGGCCGCTTCCTTCTTTTCTTGTTACACTGCCCGTTTCACGAAAAACATTAACACAACGCTGAACTGCACTTTGAAAAATTTTGTACTCAACAACGCCGGGAAATTGATTTTGAAATTCTATGAAACATTCGTCAATAGAATACTTCCATATTCCATCAATCTTGCGTCCATTTCTAAAGTAGGACTCTATGATAAACACTTTTTGTTCTTGAGAAAACACCATTTTAAACGCTTTTTAAAACGAAAAAAATATTCAAATTGATAGCGGCTATATAGCGCTTTGACAGATGACGTTTAAGTTCATTTGCTATACGCTACGCCCTACGTCCAAATTTTCAGAACCAACTTGACCACGTTTTTATTTGAACGCTCGTTATAATTCCACATGTAAATATTCTTATAACATTTACTTGCTTAGTCCAACATATAAAATTGTTTACTTTTATTTATAAGTACGTGAAAATAATTCTTAAAATGTGGGGTTAGGATAACAGCAAACACATGTTTTACAAACGCTTTTTTTAGTTATTATTTTATTTGAGTAAATTTAAATGGTAACAATGAATAAACAAAACATCAAGGATTTTATTTTTGTGCTTACTTTTGTTCTACACGTTTTACTTTTAAAGATTTCATTACCTAAAAACACCAGAAATTTCATTATTTCTCGGCCAGGAATATGGCCACCTTAATATCAATTATTGCTCGAAACCATACTAATGGTATAAATACACAAATGACGATGATGGGTGTTTATGTACCTCTTAAAGTGAAAAATTAACATAACGTACTTTTTTATGGACAAAAATCAGAATAAAAATTTCTAAATGTGTTATGTTGAATTAGAACTTTCATTGAAGCTCAAATTTCTCTTTCTTTTACATTTCACAAATGGTTCCAGTTGTTATTGTAATCTTACATAAATCAAAACTATACTAAACCAATGATACAAATATAAAATGTAGATCGTGAAAAATTATCGTTATTTATCGCACTGTGTTTTTATATCAAAGTATTTATCCAATTTAATATTTTCATGGTCCACTAATCTTAGAAATTAGTTGGAATATTACATTAAAGATTATTATTATTGTTATATTACAAGATTTTAATTTTATTAAAGTTATTAATTACGATGTACTACCTTGTTTGTTACAAAAATGTGATGTATTAGTATTCCAAACAATTTGTATGCAGAATGAAGTATTTTGCTTTACGTATTTTATCATTACTTTTTTCTACCGCATATGGTAAGGGAAACATTCGAAGACATTTTTTTGGTACCAATATATAACATTGTTTTACTTACATATATGTACTTTAGACAACAAATTATAACATTACTGAAAATCTTTATTTATAACGTTTTAAGGACAAACATCCGTCAACAGTACTCTATGGAAAAATCTACCAAGAGACTGTGGCAAAACAAGATTTAATGACTCCGTTGTAGAAGAAATGGATGACCGGATTATCAATGGCACCGAGGCTAAACTAGGACAATTCCCTTGGATGGCCCGATTAGGGATAACACGTGAAAACGCTTCCCCGATTTTTTTCTGTGGAGGCTCTCTTATCAGTAGGATTTTTGTTATTTCAGCTGCTCATTGCACAGATATGGGTGATATGTGAGAGGTTTTAACACATTTGACAACACTGCTTTACACTGTTTTATTTCAGAGTAAGACTTGGTCAAACGTACGAAACGGATGGCACCGAATGCGACGAGAAAGGCGACTGTGCTCCGCCTTACCAGGATATCAAAATAAAGAGCTACATATTCGAGGACTTCTGTCGACTATCAATACGTAATGATATCATGCTGCTAGAACTAGACAAACCAGCTGAGCTTAATGGTAATATGCTAACAATCCTTAACTAAGGCAAGAAATAACCGATCCAATAGGATTTCATACCTATTGATCCCTGGAATCCCCACAGAGATCGGGATAATTGCTACGACCTGCCAGTTCTGTTAAAAAGAATTTAGAATTTAGTTGTACTTTACAGTAGTATATAATTTTATTATGAAAAATTACTTCTTTCAAATTGAAATGAAACTGTAGAATTCTGAATTTTATGTCTATGGTACTTTTGACACTATAAATTTGATACTACTTTTTATTCGTCGTTTAAATTTCAATTCTTTTCAGATTTTGTGCAACCAATTTGTCTTCCCCGTGTCTCCATTCCATTAAGTAGCCTCGTTGGTAAAAACATAATTACATCAGGGTGGGGTCAGCAAAACGGAACTGACGATACAAGTTATCCACAAAAATTAATGTATATTATCGTTTCTGTACAAAATATGAAAAAATGCATACCATTATTTCCAATTTTCGACAGAAACTCACAATTCTGCTTAACTAGACCCAACGGTAAGAATTAGAAGAACATTGGTATTAGGAAGTAATTAATTAAAAACGTATTTAATTACGAAACACAGCCCAGATTGTCCAAAAACTCATTCTGCTAATAACATTGTTTATTTTTTTTAGATAAGAGCGTATGCTTTGGAGATTCTGGTTCTGGTGCTTTAAAATTTATAAAAATTGATGGCGAAAGAAGAGCCCATTTAATTGGAATTACCTCATATGGGGGACCAGACTGTACATTATACCCTATATTTACATCTGTGCAATACCACATAGGCAGAATTTTGATACAAATTAACAAACATCAGCACAAAAATATAAGAACGTGCATACCTATAAACAAAAATGTATAAACGTGCTTAGATAATTTATGTCTTCAAATAAAGATGAAATTCCTTCTTTCTTTAACCTCCCGTCAACTTTCACTGTTAATTGTTGTTATAATCTGTCTATCAAAACCGTAGTAAACTAATGGTTTTATTAAAATACTTGTATAAGGATAAACGCTTGTTTATTTTTAACCTCAAAAACTATCATATTATTTTATCTAGGCGTACGCAACGCAGGTACAACCCTGCGCAGTTAGATGCTGGGTGTGGTCTCACGTTCGTCTGCGGTATCGCCAGTACCGTTGCGTATATTTTCAGTTATAATATCACAAGAGCATAGAAAATATTCGATTATACTTCCGAGTCACGAGACGTATTCTGCGAAACACCACGACAGCGTAGCTGGAGTGGTGTTTTAAGGATATACGTCGAGTGAGGAGGTTAGTATAATCGAATATTTTCGTTTGTTCGAGAGGTATTCGATGCGATTATATAATTCAGAGCTTGAACCGAAGCGTTGACGTTTATTGACAAATGTTAAAACTATCGTTACCATGACATAGTTCACATTGTTGGAGGAGGCGAAACACCAAAACGGTTATACCACGTCGTCAAGAGTATAATCGCTTATCAATACATAGTTACTACGTAAAATTTGTAATTGCTATTGGCTAAATTTCTAATGAATTATATAATCAAGCAAATAAACTATAAATTATATCATGTGTTTATATTTCTCGAGTACTACCTTAGCAATATTTGGACACATATTTGTCATACACCATAAAAATTTTATGGATGGATTATGTTCAATTGCATGCAACTTCAAATTTTTAATATGAACTGTTGCAATAACCAAATGCAAAGAAATTATTATTAGGTAGTTTTTTTATGGATAAAAATCAAAACAAAAATGTGCAAATGTTTTACGTTGCGTTAAAGCATTAATTGAGGCTCAAATTTTTCCTTCCTTTGCTTTCCACAAATTCTTTCAGTTATTATTGCAATCTAATATACGTCAGAACTAAGCTAAACCAATGAAAAAACATGAAACATAAAAAAATAACTTATTTGTTACAATGACTTTCCACGTGTATATCCAATTTAATATTCGCATGGTCCACTAACTTTAATAATTAGTCCGATTATTATATTATAGATTATTGTTATAAAAATTTAATTCTATTAAAGCTAATAATTACGACGAAATATCTGTAGGTTTTCGACAATTAATTAACAGCCCCACAAAAAAAAAGTGGCTGGGCCGAAAGTCAAGACCATGGTATCCATATGGTTTTGGGGTCGCTGAATCCGAATCCGGTGTCCGTTTGATACGATTAGCTCTGGTTTAAGGTCAGTTCAAAGTCAAAAGTAGAAAATCGATTATCAACAACCTTAACCCATGTATCTATTTTCAACCTATGTATCGTTTTTGGGGTCGCCGAATCCGGTGTCTGTTTGACTCGATCAGATCTGGTTTAAGGTCAGTTCAAGGTCAAATGTAGAAAATTAATTGTCAACAAACTAAACCTACGTATCTACACGTTTTTGGAGTCGCCGAATCCGAATCCGATTTCCGTTTGACTCGATCAGATCTGGTGTAAGTTCAGTTCAAGGTCAAATATAGAGAATCAATTGCCAAGAAAGTAAATCTACATATCTATAAGTTTTTGGGGTCGCCGAATCCGAAGCTGTTGTCCGTTTGACTCAATCAGATCTTTGTTGAGGTCAGTTCAAGGTCAAATCTGGAGAATCAATTGAAAACAAAGTAAACTTATATATCTATACGTTTTGGGGCTCGTTGAATCCGAATCTGATATCCGTTTGAAGCGATCAGGTCTATTAAATACTTTCTAATAGAAATAGATCAATCAACATACGAAAGATACTTATATAAATATTTTGGTTTTAAACCTNATAAAAAAATAACTTATTTGTTACAATGACTTTCCACGTGTATATCCAATTTAATATTCGCATGGTCCACTAACTTTAATAATTAGTCCGATTATTATATTATAGATTATTGTTATAAAAATTTAATTCTATTAAAGCTAATAATTACGACGAAATATCTGTAGGTTTTCGACAATTAATTAACAGCCCCACAAAAAAAAAGTGGCTGGGCCGAAAGTCAAGACCATGGTATCCATATGGTTTTGGGGTCGCTGAATCCGAATCCGGTGTCCGTTTGATACGATTAGCTCTGGTTTAAGGTCAGTTCAAAGTCAAAAGTAGAAAATCGATTATCAACAACCTTAACCCATGTATCTATTTTCAACCTATGTATCGTTTTTGGGGTCGCCGAATCCGGTGTCTGTTTGACTCGATCAGATCTGGTTTAAGGTCAGTTCAAGGTCAAATGTAGAAAATTAATTGTCAACAAACTAAACCTACGTATCTACACGTTTTTGGAGTCGCCGAATCCGAATCCGATTTCCGTTTGACTCGATCAGATCTGGTGTAAGTTCAGTTCAAGGTCAAATATAGAGAATCAATTGCCAAGAAAGTAAATCTACATATCTATAAGTTTTTGGGGTCGCCGAATCCGAAGCTGTTGTCCGTTTGACTCAATCAGATCTTTGTTGAGGTCAGTTCAAGGTCAAATCTGGAGAATCAATTGAAAACAAAGTAAACTTATATATCTATACGTTTTGGGGCTCGTTGAATCCGAATCTGATATCCGTTTGAAGCGATCAGGTCTATTAAATACTTTCTAATAGAAATAGATCAATCAACATACGAAAGATACTTATATAAATATTTTGGTTTTAAACCTAAATGAAAAATTTGATTGGGTTTAGCAGATAGAAAGGTTTCACCAAGATATTAAAGAAGGGAGACATTTGGGTGGCAATGAAACTATCACTGATATTGCTAGTGATACTAGTGATGACGAATATATTCCATATCACGTTGTTAAAAAGACAGGAACATATCACAAAAAAAATGTAAGTAAATGATGTTCGAGATTTAGGCCTGGCAGAGAATGGAGCAGAGTTCCTAATATCATGGTTTTAAAAAAATACTAAGCAAGCTGGAAAAGTGAAAGCTTTTTACTATCAGTACAGAAATAAGGAATATTTTTCTAACGATGAAGAATTTTCCTTAGGTTACTACAATGATATTGTTGGATAAATCACTTCAAACATGTTATAAACCTAATGCACATTGAAACAAGAGTGCCATATTTTGAGGAAAGTCTTACATAGTATCAAATACGAACAACATAAATGGCTTTACATCTGACCTTGAACTGAACTAAACCAGATCTGATCGAGTCAAACGAACACCAGATTCGGATTCAGCGACCCCAAAATCGTATAGATACATAGGTTTAATTTGTTGACAATTGATTTTCTATATTTGACCTTGAACTGACCTTAAGCCAGAGCTAATCGTGTCAAACGGACACGGGATTCAGATTCAGCGACCCCAAAACTATATGGATACCATGGTCTTGTCTTTCGGACCTACCACTTTTTTGTGGGGCTGTGTTATGAGTGAAAATCATCTTTATTTATAATGTTTCAAGGAAAAACATTCATCAACAGTACTCTGTGGGAAAATCTACCAAGAGATTGTGGTAAAACAAGATTTAATGACACCGCTATAAAAGAAATGGAAAACCGGATTATCAATGGCAGCGTGGCTAAACTAGGACAATTCCCCTGGATGGCCCGAATAGGGACGAAATATAAAGATGGATCAACGTATTTCATCTGTGGAGCATCTCTTATCACCAGGACTTTTCTTGTTTCAGCCGCCCATTGCGGAGAATGGGTTAATATGTACATGTTTTTAAGATATCTGACAGCACTTGTTGAACAGTTTTATTTCAGAGCGAGACTTGGCCAGACGTACGAAACAAACGGCACCGAATGCGACCAAAATGGCGCCTGTGCCCCACCCTACCAAGACATCAAAATAAAAAGCTACCTATTCGAGGACTTCTGTAAGCGTTCGTTTCAAAACGATATCGTTTTATATCAACTTGACAAGCCGGCTGAACTTAATGGTAATATTTATTTATTTATTAATTTACTTTCAATTGAATTGCTAAGGATCCACGAAAAGAGAGACAGATTTATTGTTACTTACCTCTTCTGTCAAAAAGGCAAGGTTTTCCAAAGTTTTGGAGAAGCTGGTTGATGACTTTTGGTATAGAAGAAACAGGATAAAATGAAACATCAGATCCTTACAAACAAAAAGCAGATTGAACTTTCAGGGAAGATCATCAATGTTAGTCCACGGACTCACGTACAAACAAAAAAATTATTACCAGCAAGCTGTAACTTTGCGTGCAGCTTAAGTTTGACGAGTCTCCCAAGATTTGACTATGAGGAAAATTCAACAGTGGTAAGTTTTCCCGTGATTTTCAGGAAAACATGTCAATCTGGCATAAACATGGAATGTTATGACCAGCACTTTTTTTAAGTTTAAATGAAAGATATATTTTTTTTANCCACGGGCCCACGTACAAAGAAAAAAATGATTACCAGCAAGCTGTAACTTTGCGTGCAGCTTAAGTTTGACGAGTCTCCCAAGATTTGACTACGAGGAAAATTCAACAGTGGTAAGTTTTCCCGTGATTTTCAGGAAAACATGTCAATGTGGCGTAGACATGGAATGTTATGACCAGCACTTTTTTTAAGTTTAAATGTAAGATATATTTTTTTTAAACCCCCCAAAAAATTTGTTCGACAAAAATGTTGGTATTTTGAGTTTGTCCCCCACCCCAAATATGTCGATTTGGTGACATTATGGTTGGTGACAACCAGCAAGCTGATTTTTCTGGGAGGGTTTGGTAATAAGATTTGAAATGAAAGTATCTTATTGTCCAACAAAATTTTTGAGAATTTTTTGCAGTCCGACGCCCTGAAGATGTCGACTTAACGACAACATGGTTGGTGATAACCAACAATCTGGTTTTGATTTTTTTCTCTAATAATTGAAATGTATAACACGATAATATACTAGTCCGCCAAAAGGATTGAAAAATTTGCCTTTAAAATGGGAAAAATAACAATTTTTGTGGTACTTCACTCCGCTATAAAATTTTTAGTGAAAAAATAAAGAAGCATAAATAAGAAAATTATCTTGTTGTTGGAGCAACAGAAATTGAAATTCATAAATAATTATGTCTAACTAATTTAATTAATCTCCATTAAAAGGTTTTCTTTGTTCAAAAAACTTATTTGTACATTTTATTTTATAAACTATTGTAACTATTTTATAAAAAATGGTAACTGTACAATGAATGCATCAATTTTTGCTTGTTTTTTTAAATTAAAATTTGCAATCTTGTTTTGACAAATAGTTTACACATGGTTTTGTTCTTGAAAAACCAATTAAACCAATTTTATTCTACATTTATCAACGCGTTTATTAATAGGTTGTCTTGTTATAAAGTATAAATCCTTAATGCAAAATGACTTTGCAGCATTTAAAACCTGCTTCCAAAGTTCTTAACAGGTGTTTATAGTTTCTCCATAAACAACTGATTTCATGTAACCCCAAAAACGGAAGTATCGGCATTCCATCTCACATTTATTAATTAAGATGTAATCTTAGGTAGGAATAATACTTAATGACATGGCATTACAAATGACAGCAATAAGACAAGTCTCTACTTGTCTTATGTCAATTATTTGATTTTCGTCCAATCTTAAGAAACTTCACCACTAAATAAGTAATGGGTAGGTATTTCATTGTAATTTAATTCAATAGCATTAGAAGTTTCAAAGCCAAATATCTCGAAGTTTTATAAAGTGTAGCTTTTTTGTGTAAAAAATAAGAATTTTATACCAAAGATGAGATACCTTAAAGTATAAAAAAGTTATGTCGTTTTTAACACATTCAATCGACTGCAGCTAGCGCCCTTTTTTTTCACTTTAACCAAAATGTGAACACATTTCAATTCCTCTACTTAAAGAATTCCAAACCTCAAAATTTTGTGAGGATATTTGCATTTGTTAAGGAATAAATGAAAAAAAACTAAAATAATATTTTACATTTAACACCCTGTATCTCTTTAACTATCAACTTTTGGACTAAGGTAAGTTCGGCTAAATCACAATATTTTTGCTTCGAGGATCTCCCCATGAATTTTGACCTATTAGGTCGGGACCACCCTGTATACAATTTTTTTGTAATTGTATAAAAAAATAAATTTAAATTAGTCATATTTATTTTGAAATTTGAGAAATTTAAACATTTTTTTTTATTCATATTTTTTTTAAATATAAATTTTTCTTCCACATCATGCGTAAGTGTTGAAACCGCAAAATTTTATCGTCTAATTTTGTCGGACAAGCAAAAAAAAAACGATAATTTTGTCGGACAGTTAAATTCTCAGATTAATATTGCATTTTTTTAAATAACGACGCTTTTGTCCGACAGCTGGTTATCACCAACCATGTTGTCGTTAAGTCGACATCTTCGGGGCGTCGGACTGCAAAAACTTCTCAAGAATTTTGTCGGATAATAAGATACTTTAATTTCAAATCTTATTACCAAACCATCCCAGAAAAATCAGCTCGCTGGTTGTCACCAACCATAATGTCACCAAATCGACATATTTGGGATGGGGGACAAACTCAAAATACCATTAAAAACAAGTGCTGGTCATAACATTCCATGTTTATGCCAGATTGACATGTTTTCCTGAAAATCACGGGAAAACTTACCACTGTTGAATTTTCCTCGTAGTCAAATCTTGGGAGACTCGTCAAACTTAAGCTGCACGCAAAGTTACAGCTTGCTGGTAATCATTTTTTTCCTTGTACGTGGGCCCGTGAACTATGTGGTTTTAGCAGCTCGCAATGACAACTTACATTACTAACTTTATCTGTTCTATAGCATCACCTCTATTAAATCCATCGAGAATCTTAGCAATTCTTTCGTTGTAATTTAACGCGGTCTGTCTTTTTTATTCACCTTCTTCTTTAAAATTTATGTAAGAAACATTAGTTCTCTTCAAACTGCCTCTAAAATGGAAGTGAGATCGCGGAATTCCTAATTTTATATCTAGGGCACTTTTGACACTATAGATACTTTTTTCATGACAATCTGATAACTATGTGATAGATAAAATTGTATTACTCATAGTGCTAAAGTCAAATGTCTATGAATTATTAATTTCTGATTTATTTTTTAGATTTTGTGCAACCAATTTGCCTATCCCGTATCTCTATTCCACTAAGTAGCCTCGTTGGTGAAAATATAATTACGTCGGGATGGGGTAGACAAATTAGAACCGATCCCACGAGCAATCCACAAAAATTAATGTACATTGCTGTTCCCGTACAAGACATGAGGAAGTGCATACCATTATATTACCACTTCGATAGAAATACACAATTTTGTTTAACTAGACCCAACGGTAAGTATTAGAAAAGTATAGGCATTAGGAAATAATTAATTAATAACGTACCTATTCCATTACAAAACCAGCCCAGATTGTACAAAAACTCAGTCTACTAGTAACATTTTCTCGTTTAATGTTTCTTTTTTTTTTCTAGATAAGAGCGTATGTTTTGGAGATTCTGGTTCTGGAGCTGTAAAATTTATGAAAATTGATGGCGAAAGAAGAGCCCATTTAATCGGAATTACTTCTTATGTGAAGAAAGACTGTTCATTATACCCTGTATTTGCATTTGTCGAAAACCACCTAGACAGAATTTTGATACAAATTAACAAACATCTGCACAAAAATATAAAAGCGTGCAGATTAACAGTCATGTGAACAAACATTTATAAATGTGCTTGGATAATTTATGTCTTCAAATAAAGATGAAATTCCTTCCTTCATTAACCTTCCGTCAACTCTCACTGTTAATTGTTGCTATAATCTATCACTAAAAATTTTATCTAGGCCCCAATGGCGCCAGTATCGCCGCGTGCCTCTCTCTCGTTCTGTGGAGTGGAATAGAAGGCGTGGTAAAGGCGGGTACGACTCGGCGCAGTAAGATGGTGGGTGTGGTTTCACGTTGGTTGCGGTATCGTCAATGCTGTTGCGTATAATTTCAGGCAAATCAACCGTAAATTATATCCTGTATTTACGTTTCTCGAGTACTACCTGAGCAATATTTTGACACATACTGACATACATCAGAACCATACTAATGCGTATAAATACGGAAATAACTGTGATGGGTGATTTCTTCTTAATGTTAAAAATATAACGATACATTTAGCCTCAAAAATTATCTTATTATTCCTTTCAGTGCAAAGTAACAGTGAAGTATATAAACTTATTTAATTTTATATTTGCATGGTCCACTAATCTTTGAATTTAAAACGCCAATAAAATTTTATTAAAACTGTTTTTTCCTACTTATTATTAGAAAGAACCCAAATTCCAACTATTCGTAACACAAAATTAAATATTTTATTATTATTTTTTTAGCTGCATATGGTAAGATAAATCTCTATGAAAACTTTTTAGGCGAAATATTTAACAGCTGTTATCACATTTATGTATTTTTTACTCAAATATCAGGATGTAAGTGTAGCTTAGCTATTATCTTTTCATGTAACCGTTTGAGGGAAAACGTCCATCAACAGTGAACTCTGGGAAAGTTTACCAAGAGACTGCGGTAAAACAATAATTAGTTATTTAATTTTAAACTGAAAAATTTTCTGATTCCTTGATTGTAAACTATTAGCATATAAAAACTTGTAATCAATTAAATTTCATATTAGCATGTCCATTAATCTTAATCACGTAGTCTTCTATTTAAGTATTCTTAATTGAAATAATAAAACTTGTTTATAATATTTTAAGGAGAAACAGAACAGATATCAATACTCTCAAATAAAAAGTTTAAACTGATATGACATTTTATGTATTTACTTTTTTTTAGCAATATATACGAAAGCTGATTGACTAAATAATAATTACAGTGAAAATACTAAAAACTGTGATTGTCTCATTTTAAGTGCACATTTTCCCAAATGGTAATTCGATTTATTATCCACTTGCTGTGTAAATCACCTCTTTGCCATTTCCACAGAGTAGCTGAAACAACCATTGTCATTTCAACATTTAAATCACCACCGTGTAATTAAAACATATAACAACCAGCCCAAAACCTTTGTCTCTTTGAGAACATTCATTCTTCATTGACGTAACTATTTTTTTAACTTTGCACTGGCATTTATATCTACCTACTTTGGGATATACTTCACAAAACTTGCCCTCCTCCAGTTCTTGATCATAGAACTCATTACATTTCTGGGTATCCACTAGAGGAGCATTTATGTACCTCAAACCTTTGTCACGAGTGTTGTTGATACCACGAGGTCGGGCCCATCTCTAGTATACTGGACCCAAGTTGTTTTTTCCGAGACTAACTCTGAAATTGAAGTGTATAGTTTGTTACCTTCTCATTGAAAATTACGTTAGATATAAAATGCGCTTATTGGCAAGTACAAATCGATCTAAAGGACAAAGAAAAAATTGCTTTCTCCACTAGAACAGAGCGTCGCACTTCAATGCCATGCCGTTTAGCCTAATCAATGCTCCAGCCACTATGGAGAGATATAGAATCATTCGGAATAGGATCGGATTCTGCTCAAATTTAAACTGTTCACGGTTTAATTTGTTTATTGTGGATTAATATAATATCTCTAGCACCGACTTGCTACTGAAATGTCTGAATAAGAAAAGAGTTTCACTCCAACTATGTTTTTTATAAAAGAATTTCATATTCATATTCAGGGGAAACCCTGCCCCCACCGTACATATTTTATTTAAAATGTTTATAAAGATCTGTACATTCTCATTTTCGATTACAAATTACTTTACCTTTTACTATGAAACAATATATCATCAAAACATACATTTCAAAGTGACTCATTCTGAATTTAAACCACATTTTTATAAAATAAATAATAAAGGCTTATAAAATTTATGGGAAACCCACAAATTGGAATTCAATTTCAACGTTTAATGTACTGTGTAACAATAAAGCTGAGTGTTCCATTTTTAACATTGTATTCAAAACAAATCCAGCTAAAATTGTAAGTGTATTAGTACTTTTTATACACTTTCCTTTGTGCCTTTTAGATTGGTCTGTTAGAATTCAACTATTTCATTCAAGCATTTGTTTCGGGGCTTTTCCAAACAAAATTTAGTATTTAATAGTAATGCGGTGACTTTATGGAAATATATTCATTGCTTGGTTCCATTTGCTTGTCATGTTTAATATTATTCTAGTATTGTAAATGTAGACCAGCTCGGAATGGGATTTTATTACAATAAAATAACAAAACTAACTCTACCACTACTTAGTGCCTACTATATAGAAGAGTTACGGTTTACCTAAAATTCTTATTGAGAGTTATGTTAATTCACTGCAAAATATTCACATTATTGAATGTAACTAATCAATGAAATACTGATATTCTTTCTAATGTACCTTTTTATTATAGGCTCTTGCAAAGGTCATTTTGTTACACTGGAAATATAAGTAAAATACTGTTACAATCAGGGAAATAATGAAATATTAAATTAAATTCCATTTAAACAATTGCAAGACTACATACAATATTGATTTTATTGAACCTAAAAAGCCCCAAATAAATTGAGCTGTTGTATCCATCAGTTACAGGTGTGTGAAATATACGAGTATTATTTTTTTCACTTTAAAATACAGTTGACGTCAAACTAGGCTACCTTACCGTTTCGCGATAGATTTTAAGAAAAATATAACGGAAAAGACACAGTTGCGTCACATATGACGCGCTAAGTAATTGAACGAATCGGAGAGTTTTTATGGTAAGGGACAGTATCTGTCGTGACTTGTGCCATTCAGTGGTTCCCGTAGCGAGGTTGTCTGCCTCAAACCGTTGTTATTGCTTTTGCTGACTTGGCTGTACGTGTTGACGTTCGGAAATCGTGCGGGGTTGCCTCTGTCAGTGGCGCAGCGACAGGCTTTCGATATGCGTGACATATTTATGTATGTACCTTATAAATATGAGCCCAATGCTGACACAAATCATTTTTGGTTAGTATTTGAAGTACATTGTTGTATTACTAGTCCCGAGGTCGAAAATTCACCATACTTTCCATTCGGGACCACAAAATAGGAAACAACCGGAAAAATCCTCTCATCTTTCCAAGCAGCTACAAAATGCCTTACCCATGATAGTCGACGTTGACGAGGACCAATGCCGGCAACAGCACCTTTCAGAATTCGGACCTAATTAAAGACAACTCCCTGTACATCATTAAAATGGTTAACTCAGCAGAGTCCGCACTAAACTGAAGCCTGCAAGAGATCCGCCTGCAGGAAAAGCCATCTTGTGAACGAACGTCGACCCTGTGTATCTGCAATTCAGTAACCAGATAAACAACTACAAAATTCCATATTTGAGTTACATTTTCTCAACAAAAATAGGCGCATGAGCTTAAAGTCATACAGCCCCTCAGGCTGTCCGCCTAGGTCAGTTCTCCCTAGGGCCCTTCAAAGGGTACCCAACTCTAAAGCTGCCGTACACTAGCCCTCCTATGAGGGGCAGTGGAAAAAAGCTTCTAAAGTATACAGACACTCTATGAAGGCTCCGAATAACTATTATAAAATAAATTGCTGAATGAATGAAATGCAAAAAACTATGCAGGATTGGTCAAAACCATAAAATTTGTACTAAATAAATACAAATAAAGTGCCCCAGTGCATTTTTGGAAGTTACAATAATTTATTCTCTACAGAGCAAGAACAGTAATATTCGTTTATCGCCCTAAATATACTCATGATTTATGCAAGTACTAGAAACGTCCAACTTGAATGGATAATAATCACTAATCAGTAATATAAATAATGCCAAAGTTGACGACTGAATAATTTAGCCTGTAGACTTACTTACTCATTCATTAGCCCGGAAAAAATTACAGTAATTTCGAAATCATGTTTGGGCGAGTTTTAAATCAGCCTGACGGCCCATTAATCATTATAACGGATTGCCGTGAAACTGGAAAAATACCTTATTCATAATGGCATTGTACATTAAACTGAACGGGACAAATTTTCTTTCCAAGTCGCAAGTTTTTGCCGGATAAAAATCAACAGTAACTAATCAGAATAGTTTTAAAATACGAAGATAAAAACTCGCGACAACGGTTTGCTATTGTTCATCGTAAACGTGTTTTTAATATTGATGACACAGATTTAAGGATTTTTAGTTGGCAGTGCCAATCGCGTACAGTTGGTTGCCTAAGCTAGACGGTCAAGTGAATTGTGATTATTTAACTATTATAGTTATTATTATTGTATACATTTTTTCATTATTTTGCAAGTAGCCAATGAATGTGATCATTTAGCAGTTCCTACCAAACAATTCTACTCTCGCTTTGAAAGCGTCTCCCTCTCAATATCGGAGGCTAAGATCAAAGGCCGCCCAATCCCCGGAACGTTTTTTGCGGCGTCGTTGTAATGTAATACATTTATTTATGAAATTTTTATGGAATAATAAATCTCCTCAGATCACGGCATGATTTCGAGGGCATCGAAAAATATTTTATACACGAGACAGGAGATTTATAAACGTCCATACAGAGTGTTGTCAACTAGATGAAGCGATTGAAAGTAAAAGAAAATCTCCCATCAACGATATACAGTGCATTCAAATTGTGTCATACTCGTATATAATTAAAGATAAACATATTTCGAAGAAAACCCTCAGCAAGGCAGATGTAGAACGAATGATGGAATTGGCCTGCCCCACTGTACCGGATGAAT